CAACCACGTGCTCTGTTAAGGCAAGACCTTTGCACTTATTGACAAAGACAGAATTTGGCCCCATCTTAATAGTGTGGGACTATTCTCTGCGCTTATTATATCTCCTCTATTTATTCTCTATATTTCTTGTCTATCCTGCACCTCCAGAGTTAATTTAGCATCTACTTGAGTTATTTTACTCCCCTACAGCCAGATTCATAGCACACGAGGAGAAGTACATAGAGATCACCTACAATGACCACTAAACAGAGAAGGTATACTCCAGCACCAAGATTAAGATCATGCTCTATGCAACTCCTCTACTTCTACAGATGAGGAAACTGAGGCCCCAAGACAGCCAGATACCTCCAGCACCAAAACTAGAACCCGGAATTCCAGTTCAGCCCTCTTTCAGCCAAGTCACATATGTTTATAAGCTAAAAATGTATTCAAAAGGCGAACTGGTGCACATCTGTAACCCTAGCAGCTCGGGAAGCTGAGGCAGGAGAACTGCAAGTTCAAAGCCTGAGCAATTGTGAGGCAGTAAGCAACTCAGTGAGACCCTGTCTCTAAATAAAATACAAAATAGGGCTGGGGACGTGGCTCAGTGGTCAAGTGCCCCTGAATTCAATCCCCGGTACAAAAAAAAAAAAAACATATTCAAAGCACTTGTCCCTACGTATGATAAACATACTTTTGTGCGGGATTTCCTTTACAAAATTTCTGATGACAATAATGTTTTTGTTAACGCAGCAAGAGGGGAAGAAAAAAAAAAAACACAGAAACAGAAACACACAAACCTGAGCCATTATAATTCACTGTAAAAAAATAACTGTATTTTATTTCTCATTTATAAGTAGCCTAAGAGGTTGGTACCTTCCAGTCCTAACCAAGACCTATATTTAGAAAGCAGAAAACATAATCCCACACTTTAAAACGGCCTTGAAAACATAATCCCACACTTTAAAACGGCCTTGATTGATTTCAGCGAAGCATATCAACAGGTGACACCGTAAGATGAGAGGCAGACGTGGAACTTTACAGAGTCAAGAGCGGCTGACCTCACATGAACCCAGGGCTTGACCTCGGCATCCCTGGAGCAGGGCAACCAGGCTTCAGGACAGACATGACACCATCTGTACATGACGTTCTCGGGGACGAGGGACCCAGAAGTCAGAATGTGATCCAGGCTTCAGGGAGGGGTGGAGAAGCCAGTTAAATGAAATCATGAGGCCAAGTAATGGATGTCTTTAACAAGGGCACGGAAAGGGGAGCAGGGGACAGCGGTGCTGGCCACTAAAAACCTTAAGGGAACATCACAACCAAGTGCAACTCATAAACTGAGTCTGGTCCCTAATTTAACAAACATTTTGTAAACAATCAGGGATATCTGAATATGGGCCTAGTATTGGGTGACATCAGAGAACTGGTAATTCTGCTCTGGGGACACAGGTAATGTGACTGTCTAAGAAATTATCAATTATTCATACACATACTAAAATATGCTGGAAAAAAATGACATGAGATCTAGAATTTGCTTCAAAATATTTCAGCAGCAGCAGCAACAAAGAGTGAATGAAGCAAGGCGGGTCCTCATTAACTGTTGAATCTGGATGTGGGTTACCGGGGTGATGGGTGCAGAGTACCAGTATTCCCTACTTCTGTGTGTGTTTGGAAATGTCCATGATTTAAAAAGTAAAAATAAAACTCTTATCTTTTGAAGTCTTTTAAGAGATTAAAAAAATGAAAGCACAACTGTCCTTTTTCTTTGACTTATTCATGAGAAAATGTTCTTGGTGAAACCTGAGCCCTGAAGAGAACCCAGAAGGACCCTGGTTCAGGGATTCTCAAACCTGGCTACACATCAGAAATGCCCACGAAACTTATCTCTACTACCAATTTTCCACAGCCTACCTCCAACTCAAACTCTCCATTTATCTCTGAGCAATGATCATTGTTTTTAAACACCACCAGAGATTCTGATGCAATCTAGTACCTTCCTTCTCCAACAGCCCAGCCAAACAGTTGTTCAGCAGGGTACCTGTTCCAAGCCCTCAGGGACAAGATCACACAGGATTCCTCATTCTCACTGCTAGGCCAAGCTTAACCAAATTCTCCACTTTAAGAAAAAAAGTGAACCAGGTGCGGTGCCACACACCTGTAATCCCAGCAGCTTGGGAGGCAGAGGCAGGAGGATCGCAAGTTCAAAGCCAGCCTCAGCAACAGTTGAGGCACTAAGCAACTCAGTGAGACCCTGTCTCTAAATAAAATTCAAAATAGGGCTGGGGATGGGGCCCAGTAGTTCAGTTGAGTGCATCTAACTTCAATCCCCCAGAACCAAACAAAAAAAAAAAAAAAAAAAGTGAATGGCCAACTTGGTACAACTAACTTGCAAGGCACTGATGTTCATTTAATGTATTTCTCACCAACATCTGAATGTATTTGTGTTGAGGTAGAAATTTACAGGAGGAGGGAGCCACCACCAAGTAAAAATTCCCCGGGGGAAAAAAAAAAACAAGTGTTCCTGTACAGCCCAGTGGGCTCTCCCTGGGCAAACAATCAGGGGAATGCCTTTCCTTTTATTCAGCTAGCCCAAGGAAGGGCCAGTGCCCTGGAAGTACCTGGCTACACCATCGCATACCTGGGTTACCTAAGTAAACCTGGCAGCTGTGCCTCTCATCAGCCACCAGCTGGCCCCAGGGTAACCCAAGAAAAGAGGAGAGAGGAAAAACACAACTCTAGCCTTGTTCTCACAGCTTCACTAAGGCTGGGAACAAACTCCCAACCACAAAACTGACTGGCACTGATCAGAAACATGTCCATGCAGGTCAGCATGGGTAGGAAGCCAGCACTCAACATTTCACAAGATTAACAATCTCAAATCCTTAAAACCACGCCCTTTCAACAAACCCTATCTGCATTTATCCAGATTGACACCCATCACCCCCAGAAAACAAGACTCCCAGAATCCAGTGCGGGGCGGGGTGGGTGGAGGTGGGGGTAGATGGGAGTTCCTCCAGGTGAGCTGTAACACACACCACCCAATACCAGCTTGCGGCTCCCAGGGCTCCACGATGAATAATCCTCACAGTCTGGCAGCTCACTTTGGAGTTGGTGTTTAACATTTCAGACTGTGCATTTGCTGAGTTACTTTTATGTGCACCCGCATTATGGCAAAATGCTGTAACTTGCAGAATCGTGTACACCAAGCTAAAAGCCCTGTCCACTGCTTTATCAGGGACAGAGGCTTTGAGGTCCTGATGGGCACTTCCTTCTCTACAGTCTAGCTCTGGAATTGCCTGCTCAGACCTTCCCCTTTTTTGCCATAAGGACCCACCAATAAGAAGCCTTTAGTTTCACAGGCCGGGTCTTTACAGGGGAGAGATCAGTCTCCTAAGTTTCTAGAATAACTTCAAACACTCAAAAGAGCGGAGTCCAGAGGCCAGTCTCCAAATGGCCAATCTGAAAAATGGAGGGAAGGCTTGGTAGCCCACACCTGTAATCCCAGCCACTCAGGAGGCTGAGGCAGGAGGATTGCAAGCCCAAGGCCAGTCTGGGCAACTTAGCAAGACTCTATCTCAAAAACTAACAAGTACTGAGGAAACAGCTCGGTGGTACAGTGTACCTGGGTTCAATCCCCAGTTCCAAGAAGAAAAAAAACAGAAAGGGAAGGAGGAAGTAGATAATGGAGTACAAGTGAGGGCTTCTCGGACTCAGGACTTCTCCTTCATTTAAACTGGCACAGAGGTTGTTACAGCTACATAAAAATAAGGACCTGAGGAAGGAGAGCCCCGAAGACCAACGTTCACATCTGCACACTCCATCCCATCAGAGTCAAACTCCGTGGCGACCACATCCTTCCTCTCCCCGACACCACCACTCCACCCCAGGTCCCCAGCCCCACCTCATGTACACTCTGGGGAAGCAGACACACGTGCCCAGCCAGAGCCAGCAGAACCCTGGCTGCCCCACCTCCTTATGCACAGTCTCCTTCCACGTCTACGACAAGCAGAATCAAGCGGAATATTCTCAGGCTCCAGATTCTACTAGAAACAAAAACATGTTTCTGGAGAGAAAGACATGGAAGACCCCAACCCTGCACAGCCACAGGCCCCATACTGGAACACGCATGAACAGCAGGACACCAGGGCTGGAAAGCACAGTGACATGAAACTGCGGACGGAACTTTTTCTGGCAATTTATTTTAACTGCTGCAACACGGCTTTCCAGAACGCCAGGTTAGATCAGGTTTTGTTTCTCCACTGGGTGGATCCTATCTCTGGCGCCACCTATTATATTCCTTACCAGATAAGTAAAGCAACTTATTAAAATCGTCTTCTTTTAGCCAACCATGAAGCCCAAGCTAAGAATTTAAAGTCAAAATTCAACTGTTTTAACAGTCCTTCTGTAATGGGACCCTTACCCTGAGCCAATTTTGCCCAGGGAGTTTCAAAGTTGCCAAACTCCAGATTTCATAAACGTCCTCTGGCAACTCATGTCCCTGATTTGTCTTGGAGTTTTTAAGTACCTTCAAGTACCCTCCCAAGGTCTCTTGATGTCCATTTATTCCAGAATCCTGGGGAGGTGGTCTTTTTTAATATTTAGGAAAAAAAATAATTTTTCTCTACATCTTGGTGGCAACAGGAGGCCAATGTCCTCCAGACAGAAACCTCATGGTCAGTGGGTGCACTTGGAATACAGATCTTTGTTTGAACTCTAGTGACCCATCCACATGAAGGGGCGATACTGAGAACCACTTGGTTCTGTGAACCACAGCTGGGTATGCGAAAGGCCATCAGTGAGAACTTCTTGACAGCATGAAGATGAAAAAAGAGCACATAACTCATAAGGTTAAGGAAACAGAAGTCTTCGCAACTACCTAAATGAGTCGAAGTAAACAACAAACAAACAAACAAAAACAGGCATGTATAAACCCCTACACTTCAATGTGGTAGATATGAGCTGCTTTTTGGTGGACAAAAAAATATGTCATAAACTGGTTCCAGACACATGAGGCTTACCTGACTCCTCTCTTTGTCCACTTTCTTAAAACACTTRTTCAATGACAAATTATGTCTCACTGAGTTTTTCCACCCAGTAGGTGCATTCGCAAAATACGGAAAATGTTCCAAGATCCAGTTGTAGATATCCTTCACTGGCAGGCGCTTGGTTGGAGAGTCCTCGATGGCCATAAATATGAGGCAGCTAAAGGAGTAGGGGGGCTTGCAGTTGGGGTTCTGCCTRGCATCATAGGGCATGTCAGAGTGGGCTGGGGAGGGAGGGGTGTCGTCGTCCAGGTCCTGGACGGGGCTGACACTCCTGAGGACCGACTCCCCAAAGCTCTTCAGCAAGTTCTTGCTCTCATGCAGCCAGTTCAGGTTGGTCAGCTCTTCATCTTCCATGGTCCCCTCTTCTAATCTGATGTCAGGCAGAGAAAAGTCGAGGTCATCGTCTTCCTGAAGGGCCTTGGAGAAACCACTGCCCCGGTAACACTGACTCAGTCCACTGGACACACTAATTCCTGAGCTTTCTGGCTTCTTACTGGCAGGCATGACTGGACCCATTTACGTGAAGGCTCCTGGGAGAGAGAACGCAAAGACAGAGGCGTTGGTCAAACTCCAAAACACAAAGTCAGAGGAGGCCCTAATTCTCCCACTCCCTCAGCCCACCCCAGCCTCCTCTCTGGGTTCGGCTCCATAGGGACACCACCTCATGACTCCCACATTGAGCCACACAAACCCACAAACCCACCACACAGAGATACGCTAGTAAGAAACATCAGTCCACCGTTTCAACAGCAAGGTGATCTGATACCCTTTAACCTAACTGAAAACATTGACACCATCTTCAAGGTGCAAATAAATCACAAAAAGGATAAGAAATTCACCATCTCCCTTAGACCTTCAAAGGCTCTCGCCATGTCCTGGGGGAAATCAATTATTACCTGGTCCTGCTTTCTCCAAAATACTCAAAAGTATAATATAGAAAATTCTTTGGAGCTTCATGATTAACTACAAAATAAGTACAAAGGAAAAAGGCTTTGTGCAATCAGTCTGTTTATTTTTCTTTTTWAAAAAAAAGGAAAACACTTATAGCATTTATTTTATTTGTATTTATTTTATTATGTTTTTGAGATGGGATCTCACTATTATGCCCAGGCTAACCAGAGATAGCAGGTGTGCAGGTGTGGGATAACAGGTGTGCGGCCACTGCTCCCAGCTAAAATGAAAAATAAATAAATAAATATAAATTTAAGGCCAATTGTTCAAGATTAAGTTCAGCCATTTCTATATAAAGATCATTACAAGGGCCTCAGAATTAAAACTGTGGCCCCAGGGACCATTGATTTGGTTCTTTTAACCAATTCCTTCCCCCCAAAAGTCATGATCAAAAACTGCAAACTTTTCAAAGCCAGCCTCAGCAATTTTGCAAGGCCCTAAGCAACTTAATGAGACCCTGTCTCAAAATAAAACATAAAAAGGACTAGGGGTAGGGGCTGGGGTGGGGGCTCAGTGGTTCAGAGCTTGCCTAGCATGTGTGCGGCACTGGGTTCAATTCTTAGCACCCCATATAAAAAGATAAAATAAAGGTCCATTGACAACTAAAAAATATGGGGGTGGGGGGGGGGGGGCGAAGGTTAGAGGTATGGCTCAGTGGTTAAGCACCCCTGGGCTTAACCCCTATTAGAAGGAAAAAAAAAACTGCAAACTTAATAACATTTGGCAAGTTGGAAGAGGATGGCAAGGATTTTGTGGATTTGAACTTAAGTATGAAGCACATTAAATTTTATTAGGGCACCACACCCAGAATGCAAAAGCAAATGATTTCAGACAAATAAGTGGGAATGAAAGATAAGCCATTAACTAAAATTGGAACTGGTTGGGGGAGGGGGGGGAGTCGGGAAAGAGCAACTGGCAGCTTCAAGGCAGGAAGACAAATTCAACAAAAATTGTTACAGTATTCTATTCCCTCCCCATTTTAATCAGTGACCCAGAACAAGGAGTAAAATAATATCTGATGAGAAAAACAAATAAAGAGGTGGCAAATCACAAACAGAACAACCACTACAGATAAAAAGTACATTCAACCCTCCAGCACTCCACCTAAGCTAGAACAGCAAATGTAACAAAAAGTCTTCCAGCCTCCCTTTGTACTGCGCAAACAATGTGCTTAGTTTATTAAGAAAAGTGTTTTAATTTTTTTTCCCTCTTGAGTAAAAAGATCAAACAATTTACATAGAAAAAAATGAATGAACACATCAAAAGCAGAGACAAAATCATTCTAAGCCTCTAAATGTCCATTCCTACCACCTCTGAAATAACTGCCGCTTCAGCACGGCAAGCTCTAGCTTGGGCTTCTAGAAAGGGAGAGATGTGGGCAGCAAACCACCAGCCAAGGACGCCAGTTAACTGCAACACTTTCCCTCTTCCCTGAGTTAGACAACCTGCTGGACAGGTGGGAGGGGCAGCTCTCTGGAACCGCTGCCAGATGCCCATCTCTAAGGAGAGAAAACTCCAACCTGGCATCACCACCCAACCCAGGCAGGACAGACCAGATGCCTTGGGTTCCTCCACTGGAGCATTTCTTTCTGTCAAACCAGGGAGCTACTCTGAGTTCTCCATGACACATGCTAAAGAAAAATTAAAAAGCTAGTACCTCTAAGTCTGGGATATGACAGATTTCTGCCCGTTATTGCTCTTATGAACCAATCAAAGCCACGCTTGTCTCAAAAGTTTCCTCAGTCCCCATCAGAAAACGTCCTGGTTTCCAGTATACCCACAGAGCACACACAAAGGAGATCTACCCCAGCCACTGAAGTCAACTTTAGCTCCAAATGAAAGTTTTATGTCTCCTGAGCTTCCAAACAGGAAAATTATATCATGGCTGACAGTAAAGTAATTTAATTGCACTGTTGCTATGACAACACGCTGCTCTCTTTCTTTTTAATTTGCTTATTTGTCAGTAGCTTCCCAAAGGAACTAACACGCTATTCTCCATGTTTTCTTTTGTTTTAAACAAACACTGCAAGCAATGTGGTTATATTAGAAAAAAAATGGCATTGTCGAAAAAAAAGAGGGTTTGGGGGTTCATACCCCGCGATCATTTGTCTGCTTTGTGCTCCCTGCAGACTCTCTGTTAACTGCATCCCAATAAATCTCTCATTTTATAGTAACAGTATGGATGGCTGCTGATCACTAGTTCGTGTTAAAAAAAAAAAAAAAAAGAAAAAACCCAGTTCCCAGAAACCACAGCTGAGGAGTTTTCCATTATTATACGCTACATAATCGCCAAATCTTTTTTTCCTCCTATTTTGTGGAGGGAGGGGGAAGTCTGGATCATGTGAGCCCACAGTTAAGCAAACATTTCTAATCTGCTGCCAATAAGGTTGCTCACCAGATTCGCAAAGAGTTTTCACTAGTGACCTCCTTACAACTTTTTAGGCTTGTTATTGGTTACATTCCCTCTACTACACACACACACACACACACACACACACACACACACACTTTTTGTATTTTGTTTCCTTTTTTACTTATTTATTTTTTTTTAACGAAGAGAATGCAGCAGAAAATCTGAGTTTCTTGCCTGGTATCAGAACGTCTCCAAAGAACTGACAAAGACGTTATGGCCCAGCTCTGAACAGATGTTCCATGTGAACTTTAAAAAGTTGAGAAATTCTTCCCGAGTGAAGCTGGGCAGTCTGGAGTTTGGGGGCCCGGGGAACCCCCCCACCCCGCCGCCCTGCGCGCGCACGCACGCACGCGCTCCACTCAGGTCTACTGTACTTGTCAAAAACATTTCAAGGGGACCAGCGGAAGCGACCATTGGCTGCTTCCTGAGTCAATCAGCGGCGTTGCCAGGCAACGGGGAAACTGCTCAGCTCCGCGCACCCAGGGCAATTGGGAGCTCGCATACCTTCACTGCCGGTCAGATGTCATAAACCTTTTATTGGCTGCACCGTGGCGAACCTTAAAAACAAATCAATAAAAGCCCGCCGACCCCCAACTTATCCGGAACCCAAGACGGGTTTCAAGGAGACGGGGTGAGGAGGGGTCGGGCCTCGGGGGTCTCGGGAGACGTTCGCGGCGGGTGCCGATCTGGCACAGTTTGGGGGGAGGGAATCTTTGTTAGGAGGCTGTTTCTCATCTTGGGGTCTCTGCTGGATCGGCACCCCTTCCCCGACCCGGGGCCGCGGGAATCGGGTCCCCCGCAGACAATACCAATTCTGCCTCCGGGGTCTTTTCGGCCACCGGGGCACCGGGAACCGGCCCGCACGTCGGGGCAGGAAACTCTTCGGCCCGGGCAACTTCCCCGCTCCGGGGCTCTGATCTCCCCGCCTGGCCAGGCCCCCCACCCGGCCCTCACCCAAGAGCTGCGAAGTCCCTCGTCTTCCGAGAGCGGCGAGGTAGTCTCCAGGGCCGCCTCGGACAAGTCCCCCGCCCGAGTCCCCCAGCTCTCGGGCGCCGGCGGGAGCGAGCCGCAAACTCACCTGGCCGGAGCGGGGCACGGGGGCGCGGGGGCGCCGCTGCCCTTCAGCGGAGCCGACAAAGTTTCGCGGGCGCCCAGCGGGCATCGCTTGGTGGCCCCGCTAAGGACGCGCGGGCGCGGCGCGGCGAGCCCGGGGCGGCGGGCGGCGGGGGGCGGCCGCGGGCGCGGGCGGCAGGGGCGCGGGGGTCGCGGCGCGGCATGGGACCTGCGGCGTCCGCCTGGCGCGCCGCGCGTCCTCCCGCCGGCCCCGCCGCTCTCCCCGCCCCGTCCCGCCTCCCGCTCGCCTCCGCCGCGGCGCGTCGGGCCGGGGCGCGCCGAGCGGCGAGAAATTGTTTCCACTGCAAACAAAAAAAGGCGACACATGACCAGGCAGGAGGAGGGGAAGCGCGGGGAGGGAGGAGAGCCGAGGGGAGGGACGGAGCGGAGGGGGCGGAGGGAGCCGGAGAGAGGGAAAACGTGGGCCCGGCCGCCGGCGGCCTGGGGCGCTGGGCGCGGACCCACCGGGGCGGCCCCTCGCGTCCCCCGGCGCCTGGGCCTGTCCTGGGCCCCGCGCCCCACAGCGCCACAAGCGCAGTCCGGGCCTCGGCCCGGCTGGGCTGCACGGACTCATCTTCTGCCTCACCGCTGGACGGAGCAGGTCGGCGTGGGCTCGGCGACCAGGGGCAGCTGCGGCCGTGGGCAGCAGGACAGGTGGGGCGGGCGGCGCGTGGCCTCTCCCCTCCCCTGGCTCCGGCCGCACGGGCTGGCCGGCGCGGCACAGCTGGCAACGTGTCGCCGGAACGCTCCTACCCCATCCGCATGCCTTACAAGGCTCGAAAGTAAAAATAAAAAAAATTATGATGAGAGCGAGGCTTGTGATGGTGAGGAGATTCCACTTCTCTCAACTACTGCGTCTTGGCAGAGCTCCCAGGGCCGCCCGAACCCTCCTCCAGCATGCACCCCATGCCCCCGGAAGAAAGGCATCCTAGCTCCAGCCCAGGTGGCCAAGTATCTGCCAAGGAAGGGAGGGTGGCCATTACAGACCAAGAGGCGGGCCCTAAAGGCCATGCCAGTGGGGCCTCTCTAGTGGGTTGAACTCAAGCCCCTGCT